TCTCAAAAAAAAAAAAAAAAAAAAAGATGTAAGCACTCAGCTACTATTGCAGCACCATGCTTGTCTGCCTGCTGCCATATTCCCCACCGTGACAGTCATGGACTCTCACCCTCTGAAACTGTAAGCCCCAAATAAATCTTTTCTTCTATAAATTGTCCTGATAATAGTGTCATTTCACTATAATAAAAAGTAAATAGGACAGGTGACATACATGTATGCATAAAAACCATACAAAATCCTATCACACAGAGACAAGAATGATTTTCCTTTGGGATATTTCTTTTCAATCTTTTTTACAAAGTTTAGGTTTTACTCTATATACCATTGGGTACTACATTTTTCATTCAGCATTTTGAGGTCCAGAATACTGTTTTGTTGTATAGCTACATTTTAATTATTTATTATCATTGTTTGAACATTTAGATTATTTCCAAGGCTTTGCTATTGATTTGTAGTGCATCCAAAAATTTTAGATGGAATTTAATACTTTACAGTTAAGAACTTGTGCATATGTAGGTGTATGTGCTATATATACATGGGCGTTGTGCAATTATGTCTTTATGATTCCACAGTATACACTTTACTGACTGAACCAACTCCCTATTCCTAATGAAACTTCTTTAAATGCTTGATATTTATTGCTAAATTGTTCATTTAAAAAACACTATATGGGCTGGAAAGATGGCTCAGAGGTTAAGAGCACTGACTGCTCTTCCAGAGGTCCTGAGTTCAATTCCCAGAAACCACATGGTGGCTCACAACCATCCGTAATGAGATCTGGTGCCCGCTTCTGGCCTGCAGTCATACATGTTCTATACATAATAAATAAATAAATCTTTTTAAAAAAACACTGTAACTATCAAGTCTGTGGAGGGTTTTTTATTTTCTTTTCCAAAATTTTTACTAACTTCTTAGGCCCCTCCAAAGATAAGTATTTCATTACTTTAATATCCCAAATTACCCAAAAGTCTGGACTTCTTCCACATTTCTTCTCATGTATTTTTTTTCTCAGAATTGTTTTTAACTTTATCTTGACTGTGAACTCATGAATATTACTGTATGGTCATCATGGTTTTGTATTGTGTTGACAATCTAACTAGATAAGTCTCTGGAAAAAAAAAAAAAAGGCTTCACTAGCAGACGCTGCATAATGATTGTCTCCAGATGACCCTCAGAATGATTCTGTCAGTTTTTCAAGTCCCATTGGGATTTTGGTTGGGCTCTCATGAAATGTGTGAATTATTTAAAATCTACAGTCTTCTTGCCAGGAACAGATTCCATTTTCTCGTGTTCTTTTGTAAGCCTGTAAAATGCTAGCATTTTCTTCACTGCACAAACATCAAACACTATAAAGAAAATCCTTTTGTGTTTTACATGTGAAGAACTCTTGTCACTGGGAGACTTTTCAATTGTTTTTTCTACATAGCTATTGGTAGTACTTAGGAAAATTACCGACTTTTTAAGTATTTATTCTGTGGCAGAATAAAATTTGGGATTCATTTTTTCCTGTTTGTAGAAATATTATCAAATTGTCTATGACTATAACTCTCTTGTAATTTCCAATAGTTATACATTATTTTGTGTCCTATGTTGTTGCTGAAAACAAAGTGAAATATAATTTCAGTACTGGATATAATTTTACTGCTCACTTGTGTAGAATATTTTCTAGAATATTATTTCCTATAATACAATACAGGTTCTTGTGGTGGTATTGTGTTCTCCAAAATATTGTGCACCCTAATAAACTTATCTGGGGTCAGAGAAGAGAACAGCCACAAGACATAGAGGCCAGAAAATAGTGGCACACATGCCTTTAATCCTAGCATTCCAGAGGCAGAGATCTGCTTGGATCTCTGTGAGTTCAAGGCCACACTGGAAACAGCCAGGCATGGTAACAAGAGCCTTTAATCCCAGGAAGTAATGACAGAAAGCAGAAAGGTGTATAAGGCATGTGAACCAGGAACTAGGGCTGGTTAAGCTTTTAGGCTTTCAAAAAGCAGTTCAGCCAAGATGCATTTGAATAAGGACACAGAGACTTCCAGTCTAAGGGAACAAGATCAGCTGAGGAACTGTAAGGTGAGGAAGCTGTGGCTTGTTCTGCTTCTCTGATCTTCCAGCGTTGACCCCAGTATCTGGCTCCAGGTTTGTTTTTATCAATAAGACTGTTTAAGATTCATGCTACAGGTTCTATGATAGATGTCTTCAGAAGAATGTCTTTGCAGCTGGATAGCCTAGTTCAAGAGGCCTATTGATATATAGTGCATTTAAAAAGAGTGTCTACAATGCACTCAGTACCCTTGAAACCACATTAAACAACAAACAGCTGAAGAAATAGGCAATGTTGGTTCTGGAGAATAGAGACTCGTGAAACCTGCTGGCGCAGTGGTACTCAACCTTCCTAATGCTGTGATCCCTGGTTCCTCTTGTTGTGCTGACCCCCAACCATAAAATTATTTTTGTTGCTACTTCACAATCGTAATTTTGCTACTATTATGAATCATAATGTAAGTATGTGTGTTTTCTGATGTTCTTTGGCGACCCCTGTGAAAAGGTCATTTGACCCCCCAAAAGGGCCAAGTCCCACAGTTTGAGAACCACTGTACTAGAGCAAGAATTTCATAAAAACAAAGGTTAGATGCGTTACCAACTGTTTCCAAAAAGACTGTCTGAAAACAAGCACACAGAGGGTAGCTAAAAAGCAAGATACAGCTGGAGCTATAACTCAGCTGGTAGACTATTTGCTTAGCATCCATGATGTCCTATGTTTGATCCCTAGAACCTTTAAAGCCAAAGGTGGTAGTGTAATCCCAGTACGTAGAGGCAGGGAAATCAGGAGTTCAAGGTCACCCTCAGCTACATATAAAGTCTGAGTCCAAACTAGGCTAGTGACATACAGCCTCCATACCAAAAAACAAGTAACAAAAAAAAATACTCTCTTAAAATAGAAGTACTCAAAAATGGGGTCCATTACAGACAAACTGTGAAACAGATCTGATCATCCAGTGGTGGTTAGACTAGGCCACCATTCGAATCCCATTTTACTTTATGGTCATTTCCATTATCCACTTGTGTACTCTCTAGAGAGCCTCATACTAGTGTTTGCTAAAATTCATTCACATTAGAATAGGAAAAAAACATGTCAGGACAGCCTACTTGTTTTCATAGACTAAGTTTTGAATAAATATATTCTAAAATTTGAACATATAAAAGGATTTATTGGTTGGGACTATATCTAGTTAGTAGAGTGTTGCTAGAGTTTTCCTGCCTTGCCCACAGTCAGGACAAATCTCTGTCACCCGCCAGTCCCACAGCCACTCAGACCCAACCAAGTAAACACAGAGACTTCTATTGCTTACAAACTGTATGGCCGTGGCAGGCTTCTTGCTAACTGTTCTTATATCTTTAATTAACCCATTTTTATAAATCTATGCCTTGCCACATGGCTGGTGGCTTACCGGCGTCTTCACATGCTGCTTGTCCTGGTGGTGGCTGCCGTGTCTCTCCCCTCAGCCTTCCGATTCCCAGCATTCTCCTCTCTCCTTGTCCCACCTACTTCCTGACTGGCAACCTATTTCTTGCCTGGTCACTGGCCATCAGTGTTTTATTTATATAGAGCAATATCCACAGCAGTAGAGTGCTTGCCAACCATTCACAAGGTCCTGGGTTCAATCCCCAGTACTGGTAATACATAAATGAATAAAAGGTAAATTTGGGGTTGGGGATTTAGCTCAGTGGTAGAGCGCTTGCCTAGCAAGCACAAGGCCCTGGGTTCGATCCTCAGCTCAAAAAAAAAAAAAAAAAAAAAAAAGGTAAATTTGTTTGGTAAAAAAGAGCAATAAATAAAACTTGGTTCATTCATCCCTAGCTAGAGTATTGGGTCAGTCAACAAATGTCTATTAGGATGGACAGAAATTGTCAACATACAGAGGAAGAAGAAGAAAACAGTGTTCTAATCAATTTTACTCAGTTGAGAAGCTCATTTATGTTCATTGAATTTCTAAATATTGCCATTAGAGACTATGCTATTTAGGACTGTACTTTTCATTCCCAACAAAGAAACCTGTTGAGAAAATGGGTAATGAAAGCTGTAGCTGCCTTATGCCTTTCCCATTCAAGATTAATGCTCATCTGGATTTTCTCATATTTCAAAATCTCCCTGGAAAACCTCTGCCAAGAAAACATCATAAAAGCCAATAACAGCACAAATGTATCTGTATGAACAGAAACCTGCCTATCTTGAGGAAGCTATACACAATTACCATTAACACATGTCAAAGATATCCCTATAGTTAGTTGATGTGTCACCCTGTGGTTGATGTCAGCTTTTCCTAACCAACATATGTCAAAATTAGTAATTTGCCCCAAAATGCAGATCTACAGTGTATTTTACAAAGCAAAGAATTGGCCAGGCTGTGGTGGCGCATGCCTTTAATCCCAGCACTCAGGAGGAAGAGCCAGGTGAGTTCAAGGCCAGCCTGGTCTACAGAGTAAGATCCAGGACAGGCAACAAAACTACACAGAGAAACCCTGTCTCAGAAAACAAAAACAAAAACAAAGCAAAGAATTGTTCGTGTGACAGTTTTGATGTACTTGCAGCAGCTGGTGATCATGTGACTATTTGATCCCTAATGTGGCAACAGAAAAGACTGAATGGCAATCATGATGGTGAATTAACGATGGAAACAAGAAACTCTGTCCTTTACTGGGAATTTTTTTTAAATATTCCATTATCTCAGACATAAACAGCATTCTATGTCTGTTGATTGATATGAAATGAAGAATAGAAAAGTACTGTTCTGGAAAACAAAACCCAGGATGAATAAGTCATGAAGATCCTTTACCTCCTTGGACAATCTTACCCAGGTGTTGAAAGATGGTACAGGGAGGCATGAGCTCCATTGTTCAAGTGGCATATATTGTTCATGGGCAGGATGCCCCTGTCCCACTGAGTAGATTATGTATCTGGCTCATGAGAAAAGGTTGGTCTGGGAGAGGAGGTAATGGAAGCTGGCATCCAACTCATGCAGGTTATCCAAGAAATGCGGGCAGAAATCAACAGACTACAGAAAGAGAATCATGCTCTCCGTGTGAAGCTGACTTCCAATAGTCAGACAGCCTCTGGATCAGAGAGAGAATCCGAAGACGAAAGGGAAGAAGCAGTGCATGGGCAATCTCCGGGGGCCCTTCCTGGTGGTATTCCCACTGGGTCTACACCAGCTGTGCAGGAACAAGGTACCGGAGCATGTGTGGTGTTTAGAGCTATGCTTACCTTTTCAAGTATCTCCCAAATGACTGATTTGTTGGGATGCTACAATAAACTCATCATTTGATACTTGCAGTGATGGCTTTCAGCCTCTGCCTCCTAGTAGACAAACTTTGAATCCCTAGTCAAATTTTCCTTTAGGTTCTCTAAGCCATATATTATTTCAAAAACAATAAAATGATTTCTGAGTATACCAGAAAAGATAAGAACAGATATGTAAAAATCAGTCTCATTCGGAAGTTTTTTCCACCTTCACTTTAACTATATACATTCTGCAAATGTGGTGCATGTTGATTGGCTTGATCATTTATTAAACTGGAATAACTTTTTAAGTGGATTAGTTTATGGCTCAAAATCAGATAAATATGGTTCTTGATGATTTGTTACTCAGCCACTTGACTCTGGGCTCCATTCTAAACCCCTTGAATCTTCTCTGCCTGGAAGTACTGCAGTGCATGCTTCTATGCTAATGGCAGCTATTTGCAATGATAAGTAGTACCTGAATGTATGCAACAAATAACAGGCACCATCTCTTCTCCTCTTTCTACAATGTGAGCATACATTACGCACAATTCAACCCAGATAGATAGATAGATAGATAGATAGATAGATAGATAGATAGATAGATAGACAGATAGATAGATAGACAGAGACAGGTAAATAGATAGAATATATGTATATATATATATACATATACATATATATTCATATATTACCTTAAGATGCAAGGTCAGTGTTTACCATATTTTAAAAGTCAAATATCTCATTTTTCACAGGAGAGACTTAATTCCATAATTACTTAAAAGGTAGCAATCATCAGTAAGTAACATATTCTACATTTCAGTTGTCAGTGATCATCTACAACAACATACTCAAATAAAAATGATATACATAATTAACTACTCATAGCTCTTAATCAAAGATTTCAGGCAGTGCCAATTAGACATTGGCAACAGTTTGATAGTGGAACATGTCACATCTGCTGGTTGATCTTATTAGAGATGTCTCTTTCTAGTGATGAGGGAGAGCATTTCAAAGCTGCAAATACATTCCTATCCAGATCTGAGAAATTCTGTCTACTGAATATCTGAGAAAACTACAAAGGAATAGTCTATAAGGTTAGACCTCCTTATTGGAAAACAGGAAGAAAAGATATGGATATTTGTAATACATCTTTACTACAGGTTTTCTAATTCCCTACAATGGTGACCATTTTGTACTGATTAATTCTTCGTTGTCGAGGTCAGTCTAGATGTTGTATGATCTTCAGCATCTCCATGCTCTCTAACAACCAGTTGCTGTAGCACCCACCTGTCCAACCCGGTTACAACCCACAAGTTGTCTCCAGCCAGGCAGAGTGGCATATGTCAATGACCCCAGTAAGTGAGAAGGTGAAGCAGGAGAACCATGAGTTTGAAGCTAGCCTAGGCAACACAGTGAGTTCAAGGTGAGGCTGGGTGAGAGTGAGAATCTGTCTCAAACAACAACAACAAAATGTCTCTGAGCGTTGTCAAATGCTAGCTGGTGGATAGTGCCCTCCCTAGCCATCACAAGCCACTGACTGGCTCTAAAGGTAGATAGTATTGCCTCAATTCTCTTTTCTACATTGCTCATCGAAATAACAAAGCAAGTAGAGTCTTTGTATCTTAGCACCTTACCCTAAGAGAAATACTGCACCATTCAAAGCATTACTGTTTGTACTCTCAGGACGTAAATATTATTAAGTTTGGAAGATGTTAGAGCAGTCGTAAGATCTAAACACACAGTTGGAACTGCACTTCTTCAGCATGTAAACAAGAACTTCCAGTAAAAGTATTATCATTAAGTTTGAAGACTGACTGAAATACCTGTCATGAAAAATTAAGAACCTTTTTCTAATTGTCCCAACAAAACACAAAAAAAAAAGTAATGTAAAGGTCTGCTCGAGAGTCTGGTGGGATGTCTTTGAATTATATTTGTCAGCAAATGGTCAGCCCTGAACACATGCATACAAGTGGCACTATTACAAACTGAGGCATTTGTAGTTGTGTATTAAGAAATATATATGGCCGGGCGGTGGTGGCACACGCCTTTAATCCCAGCACTTGGGAGGCAGAGGCAGGCGGATCTCTGTGAGTTCGAGGCCAGCCTGGGCTACCAAGTGAGTTCCAGGAAAGGCGCAAAGCTACATAGAGAAACCCTGTCTCGAAAAACCAAAAAAAAAAAAAAAGAAAAAAGAAATATATATGTATATACACATCCATACACATCATATATATACAGTGTATACATAACAACAATTATGAATTAATTTAATTACAAAATTAATATAACAAAAATTAATGAAAAAGGAAGCTATAAATTTCACATATTAGTCAGGAGGGCTATATGGGAAGATTTGGAGAGAGGAAAGGGAAGGGAGACGTGATGAAATTCTATCATAACCTTAAAAAAATAAAAGAAATAATTTTAAAAGATATTTGTCTTTTATGTGCTATGCTTTTGCAAGAATAAGTGACTGAACTAGGGAGAATGTGGCTCTGAGCATGAAGATATCTGGGTTAGAGTTCTGGTTTTTGGAACAGTTGTTCAGTGTTGGGCAAGTCATATCAAATTGCTGATCTTCGCACCTGTTGTACAGCAATATCATAGGAATTGCTAGCTTCCTTAAAGGGAGGCTCGTTAAGACCCAGAAATTTCCAACTTGAAATATTTCATCCCAGGCTCATTAAGACTCAGGAAGTAAACAAGTCATAAGTCTTAGGAAGTCCTTAAAACTTATGAGATCTACAAGGGTCCTCTCTCCCCAAGTAAGAACTGTTGGGGAAAGAGGAATATCCTATTTTGCTTTCTGTTGCTTTGATGAATACCATTGTCTGTGGTGATATTATGTTCCCCAATATATTGTGTACCCTAATAAACTTATCTGGGGTCAGAGAATGGAACAGCCACTAGATATAGAGGCCAGAAGATGGTGGCACACACCTTTAATCCTAGCATTCCGAAGGCAGAGATCCATCTGGATCTCTGTGAGTTCAAAGCCACACTGGAAACAGTCAGGCATGGTGACACACACCTTTAATCCCAGGAAGTGATGGCAGGAAGCAGAAAGGTATATAAGGCATGAAAACCAGGAACTAGAGTCTGTTAAGCTTTTAGACTTTTGAGCAGCAGTTCAGCTGAGATCCACTTGGATGAGGACACAGAGGCTTCCAGTTTGAGGAAGCAGGATCAGCTGGGGAATTGGCGAGGTAAGGTTAGCTGTAGCTGGTTCTGTTTCTCCAATCTTTCAGCATTCATCCCAAAACCTAGCTCCGGGTTTGTCTTTATTAATAAGATTATTTAAGATTCATGCTACAATTGTCTAAAGCAATTTGAAGAGGAAAGGGTTTATTTGGCTTACACTTCCATATTACTGTCTATCATTAAGGGAAGCCAGGACAGGAATTCAAGCAGAAACCTGGCAGCAAGAACTGAAGCAGACACTGTGAATAAATGCTGCTTATAGGCTTGCTCCCCCTGGGCTGCTCAGATACTCTCTTATACAGCCCAGGCCCACCTATTTAGGGATGGTACTGTCCACTGTGGCCCAGAGTCTCCCACATCAATCAACAATTAAGAAAATGCCCATAACCAATCTGATGAAAACCGTGACTCACTGAGATTTCTCTTCCCACATATGTCTAGGTTTGTGTCAGTTGACAGCTGAGGCTGTGATCAGAGGACTATCCACCCTGTCAAGTTGCCCACTAGTCATGCTAACAGCTAACGGTTGCAGCTTTCATGAGCCATCACCAATGCTGGGGTGGGCTTTTCACTGATCCAGCTGCCTTGGGGTCAGCCAGGCTTCTCTATGTGATCCCAATGTGCTCTTTGGTTCCACAAGATGGACTTTGATAGACTTGTTTGTTTGGGGTTTGGTTTGGGTTTGGGTCCCCTATCTGGGGTGAACAAACAGTCGTTCACATCTCCTCAGGAAAACTCACACACTACTCCCTCACATAAAATCCATGATTATATCCTGCTCTCCAGCTAAAGGTTTTTAACAAATCTAAGTTCTCTGGTGAAATATGTAGTCTTTTAAGAACAGAATCATATCATCTACCATAGAAATAATTTGGCCCTTGTATAATAAAAATGAATAAAATTGTATCATTTTCAGGAAATGAATGGAACTAGAAATCATCCATTTAAGTGAAACAAGCCAGACTCAGAAAAGCAGATACAAAGTGTTTTCAATACTATGTGGAATCTAGACCTTTAAAAAAATCATGTGATGTGGAAACAGAAGGGAGTCTGTTTAGAAAAAGGAATAGGGTCTATGGGGTGGGGGGAGACAAGCAAAAGCAAGGAACAAGTTGGATTCAATACATATGAACTTATTAGAATCTCATAAGGATTGTTTGTTTTTTTTAATAGTTCAAATTTCTCTTTTATTTTTTATTTTTTTATTTAAATTAATTAATTTATTTATTTTTCTGTTATCAGCTTGATACAGTATAAATTCTTATCTTAATAGTGAAATGTTTCATTGAGACTTGCTCAGTAATTGAGTAAAACCAAAACTTATTATAAGCCACAGTCATCCTAGGGTCCACCATGTTATATATAATAGCCTCCATGGTTCTGTGGGTTGCAGTCTGATTGTTCTTTGCTTTATATCTAGAATCCACTTATGAGTGAATACATACCATGTTTGTTCTTCTGGGTTTGCGTTACCTTACTCAGGATGACTTTTTCTAGTTCCATCCATTTGCCTACAAATTTCATGCTGTCATTGTTTTTCTCTGCTGAGTAGTACTCCATTGTGTATATGTACTACATTTTCTTAATCCATTCTTCAGTTGGCGGGCATCTAGGTTGTATCCAGGTTCTGGCTATTACAAATAGTGCTGCTATGAACATAGTTGAGCATGTATCTTTGTGGTATGATTGTGCATTCCTTGGGTATATGCCCAAGAATGGTATGACTGGGTCTTGAGGTAGTTTG